AGATAGATAAATGGGACTATCTTAAACTAAGAAGCTTCTGTACATCCAAAGAAACAGTGACCAAAATACAAAGACAGTCTACAGAATGGGAAAGAATATTCGCCGAATACATATCTGACAAGGGGTTGATATCAAGGATATACAAAATACTGGTTGAACTCCACAAGAAGAAAACATCCAACCCCATCAAAAAATAGGGCAATGAAATGAACAGAAACTTTCTCAAAGAAGAAATCCGAATGGCAAAAAAGCACATGAGAAAATGCTCTACATCATTAATCATCAGGGAGATGCAGATCAAAACCACAATGAGATACCATCTCACACCTCAGAGACTGGCCCACATTCAAAAGAACAAAAGCAACCGTTACTGGCGCGGATGTGGCGAGAAAGGGACACTCCTTCACTGTTGGTGGGAATGCCGACTGGTTCAGCCCTTTTGGAAAACAGTATGGACGTTCCTCAAAAAATTAGAAATTGAGCTCCCATTTGACCCAGCGATACCACTCCTGGGAATATATCCCAGAGAGGCAAAAATGTGTAGCCGAAGTGACATCTGCACTTGTTTGTTCATTGCAGCACTCTTTACAGTAGCCAGAAACTGGAAGAGACCTGAGTGCCCAAGAACAGATGACTGGTTAAAGAAACTTTGGTACATCTACACAATGGAGTACTATGTGGCTCTTAGAAAAGATGAAGTCATGAACTTTACATACAAGTGGTACAACATGGAAAGTATCATGCTAAGCGAAATGAGTCAGAAAGAGAGGGATAGACATAGAAAGATAGCATTCATCTGGGGGATATAAAATAATAAAATATGAGATTAATACCCAAGAATAGCTGAGAGCAACACCAGGAGAATTACTCCAGAACTTAGAGGCCAGCTGGGTATTCTAGGGGAAAGGACAATTCAGATAGAAAGGGGAACACCAAGTGGAGGGTGTTTGGAGGATCCTCCCAGGAGGGGAGATGCAGGTTGAAAGTAGACTGGACTGAACATGTTCGCCACTCAATGCCTCTTTGGCTGATCACAACACCCAGGAGGAGAGAGAAAACAAAAGGGAATGCCCTGCCACAGTGGCAGGGGGGGATGGGGGGATGGGAGGATGGGGGGGAGGGATATTATCCTGGTGGTGGAAAATGGGCACTGGTGGAGGGATGGGTATTTGATCGTGGTATGACCGAGATCCAAGCACAAAAATTTGTAAATCTACAACTGTACCTCATGGTGTTTCACTAATTAAAAAAAAAAAAAGCAGTGTTTCTCTGCTGGGAGCCATATAGAGCCCTGTGGACCCCAGGATATTCCAAGGGGGCACAGGTGAAAATCACATAAACAGGGGGCCATAGCATGTGGCAAGGGGACCAACTGATAGAATGGGGGTGGGGGTGGGATAGGAAGTAAACAAAACTGAAAATGGACCACAGTTGGAGAAAGGTTGCTAAACTTAGAGCAATACTAGAACAGTTTTCTCCTATATAGGTCTAATTCTGTTCCAGGGACCACACCCAGAAATGTTCAGGGGTTTCTCCTGTCAGGTTAGGAAGCCACATGGCATGGGGATGAACCCAGGGCTCTCCATACAAAGCGTGTGCTCTAGCCCTTAGATCTCTATGCTCCAGCTTCCTCCTAATTGGAGTATCAGTGAATAGCTATCTACAAATCAATGGTGAAAACACAGAGTTGCTCTCCAAATTACATGCAGGAGGAAAATAAAGATAAATTTTCGTTTTGCTACATAAATATACTGTCTACCAGGTAAGTAGATCCAATACACAGTTATTCTGTGAGGATAAGAAAATTTAAGTCTTGGGGCCAGAGCGATATTACAACGGGGACAGGGCTTTTACCTTGCACGTAGCCAACCCAGGTTCAATCACCTGCATCCCATATGGTGCCCCAAGCAATGCCAGAAGTAATTACTGAGTGAAGAGCCAGGAGTAAGTCCTGGGTATTGTCAAGTGACCCCAAAATATATATACACACAAAATATACATATATATAAATATATATACATATATATACTCCTGATACTGCTATACCTTACCACATCTTCTTTCCAAGGTCTTTGAACCAAGAGCTGTGATTGGGTGCTGAATAGTTAGACTACTGACTGTCCTGGACAGGGGAACTGGCTCAAAAGGCTGGAGCGCATGTGGGATCCCCAGGTTTGATCCCAGCACCATGAGTACTGCCACAAGCAACCCCTGAGCATTGTCAAGTGTGCCAGTTCTCCCCACCCATCCACCCACCCAAACAAAATGTTCCCACAATTTTTACCAAGAGAAACAGGACTGCTGTTCAAAGACAAATGATGACAAAGTCAAAGCTGTAGGAAGCTTCCCTTGACTGGCTGGGACAATTTAATCTAATGCTAACGTTACTAAGGGCATCTTGATCGTGGATGAAAGGAGGCTGAAGGTCAAACAATTTCCTAAGTACTTTGAGACTGACTTACGTCGAAGTTCTTAACTTCATCTTCGAAAACAAAAATGTCGTCGTTTAAGTCTTTGATAGGGACCACTAATAGCCAAGTTAAAAGAATAAGCAATTAATTAATAAGCTTCTCAAATTTTCCTTTTGCATCCTGAACAAGGGAGAGTGACTTGAATCCACTACTAGTCACTCTGCCAATCTTATTTATAATGGCAGCAAGCTTTGGTCCGCAGTTGAGGTGTGTTATGGAGTCAGGGCCAAAATTACATTTAAAGAACAAAGTCTTCGGAGGTGTGAGAACCCTGGTAGAAGTGGTAAACTCACAAGTCAACAGGAATGAGTGGCCTATTGGTTATGATACTTCCAGAACTTTTCCTGCCCTGAAATGGCAGGTACGCCACAGGCTGCCTCTGACCACAGCGTGCCCTCAGGACAGCATTGAGGCTCCAAGGCAGTAAAATTGCAGAGGACCTTGGAGTCTTGTATTAGTCCAGCCCTTCTCTTCTCAGGTGAGAAGGAGGCCTACCAACAAAGAGCAGGACAACACTGCCATCCCCTTCCCCACCCTCCTTAAGGTAACAAAATCAGTGTCAAAGTGAAGGAATCAAGAGTATAAGAAGTTCTCTTTTACACCAAAGATGGAATGTGAGGAATACAAACCAGTTGCTCGGATCTCTGGGTCCATCTGGGCACCATCTAAGGAACTGCCACCACCTTACAACTTCTCTCTACCTTAATTTAGAGTATCCGGGAAAACTAAAAATAGCTAGCCCTGCTGTCTACTGCAACTACTCAATCTGCCAGGAAACTAGGGCTGGGAGGACAGCTACACAATTGAACCTAGAAAGAGGCTTGAAAGGAGGCCAAAAAATGAATGTGCAGGCATGGCTGGAAAGCAAAGAATATACTGGGGCCGAAGTTCGCTTATTTCCCTAGGGACCTGGTCCTACAATGATCAGATATTATTATTATTATTATTATTATTATTATTATTATTATTTTTGCAATTAATGCAGGGTCCTCTAAGTCCCCTCAACTTTTTCATCTGGACACCAGTTTTCTAAGGGGTACTTAAGGAGAGGATACAACAAAACAAAGAACGGAAAGTTCAGCTTCTGAAGGAGTTTCACAGACACCACTGGCTCCGCTAAGGCACTCACCTAAGCCAACACAGTAAGTGCTAAAGTCAACCCAGATCCTGTCCCCACCCCTCCAGATTTCTAGTCACCTTCCTCTTGATTCTGTGATTCATTTTCAAAGGCAACAAAGAACAGTAACTCAGGTGTGATAGAGAAATTGAGGGAGATGGGGTGGCCTGGGGCCTCTGCCTTTTGTTTGCAATGCCTTTGGTTCCGTTTGTAAATTTAAAAGTGAAGTGAAAAGTGTGTCCACAGAGTTAGTAAGAGAGCAGGGTCCTGGGTTCTTTTTTAAATGTGAAACCTCTCCCTGCAAGTAAAACTGGCAAAAGTCACTTAGGGGGTGTGGGGAAGGTGCCCATCTCCCATCTCTAGAGCTGTCTACATCCCTGGGAATAGAACCTCTTTGGGTCAAAGTGTGGCAGGGCCAGCACAGAAGCAAGGCGCCTGAGAGCACTCACGGTTGGCCTCCAGCCACAGACCCACTCGGTCACCTCTCCGACAGCACCCCTGGTACTGGCAGCCCCCAGACGCCAGCCTTCCATTTTTCCCTTTAAGGCTGGAAATCTGACATCACCTCTATCGGTCTACTGGCTATTTTTACTCCGGTCTCCTTTCCACTCTCCCTCAAAGGGCACCGACTCTTCTACTTCTGTATACAGAAATGGATGGGACGGCGCTAGGCGGGAAGACTGCGGTCAAGCAGCCTTCCTCCCCTTCCTCCAGTTCCCGGGGTCTCCCAGCCCACCTCGGGCATTCCGAGCCCTAGGGCTTTGTCCCGAGGCCTCTTTAAAGTCCTTTTAAACGGAGAAGAAAAGAAGGCAGCTCAGCACGAAGCTGATCACACATTTGCATCGAGCTTGATGTTTCAATTTCAAAGCTGGTCTCAAACCCCCAAGTGGCTCGGTTACAGCCAGACCGTGGCAGGAATTGCAAATGTTCTGGCCTCAAAGCCGCGGCGGGCAGGAAATAAACTTCTCCACGGCTCTGCGAAGTTTTCTCCTCTTCCAGTCAGTCGCCCAGCGCCGGACGTCCACCTCTCAGACTAGGGTCCCCCGCGCCAGACCTTAAGCAAAGCCTCCCCTCGAGCTGGTCGGGTGGCGGGGTGGGGGGGAGTTACCCTGCAGCACGCCCCCCGCCAGCGCCAACCGGGATTCCCGTGCATTCTGCGCACCGCGAAAAGTAACGCCGGGCGCGAAGTCCGGGTCGGGGCAGGGGCGGGCGCCCGGAGCGAACGTGTAAAGCGACGTTTCCAGCCTGAAGATAGAGCACGCCGGCTCAGGTCATTTCCCGAGCAGCACTGCCGGTCGCCAGACCCAGAACCCCTGCCCAGCACCGCCGCGCACCCGCAGACGCTGCGCGGGAGAAGGGGCGCCGCGGGCCGGGCCGGGCCGCGCCGGGGCAGGGCTGGCGCGCGGACCTACCTCGCTCAGCTCGGCGGCGGCGGCGGCGTCGCTGTCGAATCTCATCGCGACTCCAGAATTCATGACGGCACTCTCGGACCCGGCTCGCGGCGCCGTCAGCGGGCGGGCGCGGCGCGGCGGGGCCCGGCCCGGCCCATGCCGGCGCGGCCGCGGCGGGAGGCGCGGGGCGGGCGGCGCCCGCGGCGGGCCCGGAGCTCGCCCAGGGCCGGCGGGGACGCGTCCGGGAAGGCGCGGGGCGCGGGGTCCGAGCGGGCGGGCGGCAGGCGCGGCGGGCCGGACCGGGCGCCGCGGCGGGCGCGGGGGGCGGCGCGCGGGGCGGAGCGCGGCCGGGCGGGGCGGAAGCGGGACCCGCGGCCCGGCCTGCTGCCCCGCCTGCAGCAGAGCCGGGAGGCTGCCCAGGGGGAGGAAGCGGCGTGGCGGGGCCTCGAGCCCCTGCGCGAAGGCGAGGTCCAGACGCGTCCGGGCACGACTGCCGCCCGGACTATGGGCCCGCGGGACCCCCGTCCACGCGAGGTCCACGGCGAGGCTGCAGATCCACGGCCTTTCGTGGCTGGGCGTTTTCTGCGTGGCCGTCAGACACATGAAAATACCTCTTCGCTGGAAATCAGGCTCAAATCTCCCGACCTCCCAGCTCCCGGATCGTCCTAAGAATCTCTCATCTGAGGAGAGCAAGATTTTTATTACTAAGATTTACAGTAACTCGAGGAGAGAGAGAGAGAGAGAGAGAGAGAGAGAGAGAGAGAGAGAGAGAGAGAGAGAGAGAGAGAGCTATCCAGTGGGGCTCCGGAAATCTGCACTCTTCTTCAAGCCTTGCTTGCTAAGGATAAAACTGCCCAGTCTTGACGGGGAAGTGGGCAGGGGGGTTTCTCTACGCAAAGGCTAAAGCCCTACTCAACTCGGGACCTGCTGAAAAACATTCTGATCCTTTATAATGGTGTCTGTGGAATTGCTTAAGAGGTCATCAGTCTCTTCCTACAAAATGAGAACAAAATGTCTCCATCCCCAATAACAGACCTAGGCATTTCCTGTAGTCGTCTATTTTAAAAAGACAGTGTATTGTTAATTTCCAAGGTCAAGTCTCTAAAGCTCAAACAGAATGTTTGTTTTGATCTTTAAGAAAAACCAAGGAGCTCGACTTGCATAAGTTTTATTTTCCATCTGTCCTCCTTTTGATTTATTCATTGGCTTCTTGTGGAGGCTCACAGGGTTGGTGCAGAGTTTGCTACAGTTCCAATGTGCGGGGTCCCATGTCCTAAAGTATCAGGGGAGGGTTTGGAAAAGCCCACTCTTCTGTATTTATTCACAACAATCTACTAAGGATTGTGTAATTGAAGATGCAGATACTAGAGAAAGAATATTAAAAGCATAAGGAAGATTCAGCACCATACCTGTCCATGCCTCAGAAAACATAAAAGAGGGAGTGAGGTACCACTAGCCCGCCAACCTGGACCCATGAGGCCAGTGCATCAACAGTCTGATGATGCCTTCAGGCTTCCTGATACCCCCAAATTACCACTGTGCCTCTGACCAAACTCCAAGAACTCATGACCAAGTTTCCCGGGAAATTAAATGACCAAAAGTCAGTTATGTGGGAGCCATGCCCACAGACCACCTCTGGCTCAGCCATTCAAGCTCATTTATCAGCCTTGCTTCAGAGACCCATAAATAAATCTCTAAAGCGATCAAAAGCCACAGTTGATCTCAGACCCACATAAGGTTGAACGGAACAGTACATTGAAGGGGTCCAGGCCCAAGAAGAGCCCCTGGCAGCCGCTTGCTCTCACAATCCAAAGTCACCACTACGCACAGGCCAGAGTCAATCATCTCAAGACAGATCTCACCAAGATATTAACCTGTTTATATGTGGGATTTTTTAATGAAATCTTCAGGCCTTTTTGGAGTTGGAATGGACTACCTCCCCCAACTTCCCTATACTCCTGGAAGCACTGGCAGTCACACCCACGAAGCAACTCTAGTGACACCATGTAAACTCTTCTACCAGCCTTGCTTCAGAGACCCATAAATAAATCTCAAAAGAGATCAAAAGCTGCAGTTAATCTTAGACCCACACAAGGCAGAACAGACCAGGGTAACTCAGAGGGGGACGAGTCAGCCTCATACCTGCCCAAGTAGAACCCCTGGCAGATGTTTGCTTCCACAATCCAAAATTGCTGCCATGCCCCAGCTGAACTCCACCAAACCATCTTGGAACAACCTCACTGAGATATTAATCCGCTGAAAATTCAAGTCTGCAGGTTTTGTAACAAAAATCTTAAGGCTTTCTTGAAGTCCAGATGAACTACTTCCCCCTCCCTGTACTTCTGGAAGTCTCAGCAGTCATGTTCACACCCCAAAGCTGCCACCCAGTTTTAAAAGCTACTGTAGCTGTACCTTTCCAATAAAAATGCTGAACAACATGAACAAGCATGATGACCTCTCTAGTTCCTGTATTGCACACTATAATGCACAAAAGGAGAGAGGAAAAAGAAAAGTGCCTGCCAAATAGGAAGGCTGGTGGTGGGGGTGATGGTGGTGGAGGATAGTGGGAGGGAAATGGGGGAATGTTGGTGGTGGAAAATGTACACTGGTGGAAGGATGGGTATTAGATCATTGCATGACTGAAATCCAATCATGAACAGCTTTGTAATGGTCTATCTCATGGACATTCAATCAAAATCTTAAAAAAAAAAACTATCACTGTATCACTGTCATCTTGTTGTTCATCAATTTACTTGAGCGTGTGCCAATAATGTCTCCATTTTTCCCAGCCCTGAGATTTTAGCAGCCTCTCCTACTCATCTTTCCCAATGCTGCCATATTGGAGGCACTTTCAGGGTCAGGGAAATGAGACCCATTATTGTTACAGTTTTTGGCATATTGAATATGCCACAGGGAGCTTGCCAGGCTCTGCTACTCTCGGTAGCTTGTCGGGCTCTTGGAGAGGCATATATATTTATTTATATGATTTTTTGCCTACTGTCTGAACCCCATCAAATATGGTGTGATAATTATGGAAAATGGGTAGGGAGCATCTTATGATGTGTCACACACCTGCAGTCCAGGAATATGTTCACTCGTATGTGAATCTCAGCCTGAGCATGTGGAAAGCGGCCTTGAGCATGGCTGTGGTTGGGTAATGGAGGTCGGCTGCCAGAGCTGGGTGACTTGTGGAGGGAGGGCTCTTACCCGCCCCCTCTGGGGTGCCCTAAGTGGAAACAGTCTGGCACGGAGTCCAGTGGCATTGTTATGGGGCCTCATTTTATGCTCCCTTCTAGGAGAAGCAGCCGTGAGTTCTGAAGGTGTGTTAAAAAAAAAAAAGAACAGAAATGTCATGAGTAGAACTATAATACTTGCCTCAAAAGCAGTACAAATGAAGACCTACTGTTACAGGTGGGAGACGGGGTTTGACATGAACTGAGGACCCAGCGAAATAGTACAGCAGGGAAGGCACTTGCCTTGCACATGACGGAGCTGGGTTCAATCCTGGGCTTCCCAGATGTTCCCATGAACTGCACCAGAAGTGATCCCTGAGCTCAGAGTCAGGAGTAAGCCTTGAGCATTTCCAGGTATGGCCCCAGTGCTCCCCCAAAATATGAACTGGGATTTAGAGGAATCTGAAGGAATCTTAGAAGAGGCATATGCACCAGCAATCTTTGAAGAATATCTGGGTTCAGCAGAGGTAAGGAATTAGAGAAAGTATTCCAGGTAGTGGGACTACTGTTCTGGAAAGCATGGATGAAAACTGTCTTCATAAATATAGGCATTTCATTCTGGAATGGAATGTAAATTAGAAAAGTGATTTGAAACCAGATCACGGTAGTTTGTAGTACTAAGATAAATAAATGGAACTGCCTGATAGACAATGGAGAGCCACCAAAAGATTTTTGAGCACAGAAATATCAAGAGCAGAACTCTGTTGTCAGAAATTCCAGTTGTATTGTATTATAATCATGAGTAACTAACAAAAATGAAAATGGACAAGTGTTAAATATGATTCTGATGAAAAATTTTTTTCATACTGCTACATGATCCCTAAAACCAATCAGATAATTTCACTTGGTGCTCAGCCAAAACAAAGGTAATCTTTACTAAAAGTGGAGGGGAAACTGGCAGCATTGAACTTATAAAGAGATACTACATCTGTGATTCTACTTATGGACAACAAGGCATTTTCAAAAGTAATGTTCATCTTTATGGAATTTTTGTTCTTAAACAATGAGTTTAATACATGATCCCATAAGATGCAACTTTATTGCGATCCAGTAACAAGCATGTGGTCAATTAAAACTGGAAAATTAACACATGCCAATTTGATTACCCAAAAGTTCTTCAAGCTACTGAAAAATAGCTGAATCGATTGGAGATAAAATGAACAGAAATGGGCATTAGGCAGAGGTAAAAGTTTCTATAGAAAACTATAGTAGAGGGACTGGAGCGATAGTACAGCAGATAGGGTGTTTGCCTTGCAGGTGGCCGATCTGGGTTCATTTCCCAGCCTCCCATATCTTCCCCTGAGCACCGCCAGCAGTAACCCCTGTGCATCACCGGGTGTGACCCAAAAAAGAAAAAAAAACTATGGTAGAAAGAGGAAACCTTAAAAATAATTTATAAAGTGAACTTAGGTACGGTTGCCAAGAAGCAGATGACAGAACAAAGAAAGGAGTCCCAGAAGAGTCTTTCTACAGAGGTTAAAGAATAAGAAAGGAAATATTAGGGAGAGACAGAAAAGGCAGAGAACTAGAACTTTGAGTTCAGGGTCTTTGGGAGGTGTTGTAAAGACAGAAGAGGCCATCAGGGGGCGGATGAGTTCTCCTCCCTATCCCAACAGAGGCATGGCAGCAGAAAACCTCCAAAACTCAATCACTGCCATGCTCACGGCTGCTCTTCACAGGTTCAGAAGCACCTCACTCATGAGTGAATCTGCAGAAAAACCCAGGTATGTGGGACCCATGACTGCAATCTCTAGGCTGTCGCAGAGTCAGGAATGAGTGACTTCCCCCATCTCCCTGTGTTACCGGTAACTTGTCAGTCATGCCCATGAACCACCTCTAGCACCATATAACCTCATTAATGACCATGATCTAGAGATTCAGAAATAAATCTCTTGAATCAATATAGAATGACACACTGCAAAAATGCCTCTGGGCCCCA